GAGAAACGCATTTAAACAATCGTCTCAGGCACTTAAATATTGTATCTATTACCTGGCAGCAATGCCGAAATATTGACAGCCATGACCTATAGGAATGATCCCGTGTCCGTACAATAATGAGCAACGATCGTAACAACGGTTTTCGTGACACGTTCTGCTCGAAAACACCTATAATCTCGTATACATATATGGCTTAACGTCCCGACGAAAGAGAACGAGAAAACGTAAATACGATTATCGGCGTATTGTACTACAATGATCGATCGAAACTTTTCCACGGTGAAATGTTTATCGTCGTGACGGGTATCGTAACGCGAGAAATAACACAGTGGCTAAAAAGCACTAGGACAAACTTCGCGTGACGATTATGTGCGTCGAATTAACTATTGTTCCGAACACGGTTTACAGTTTCACGTCGAACTTTGTTTCATTATTCAAACGTCTGATGATCTTCAACCCGTTATGGGGTTGTATGAACTGAATAGGAAGCTGCATTCATCGTGTTCAATGAACGGTTGCATCCGAATTGCATGCCAAAAAAAAAAAAAAAAAATTCCGAAAAGTGATGTTCCTTGTATACCAGAGATGGGCGACCCACGTCGCCTTTGATAATTTTACGACTCGCATGATTTATAACGATTTTATAAAATATGTTTATTTTTGTGCAGAAAATATCCCATATTTTAAATTTTTGATCAAATTATTTTACCAATAATGTTGTCTAATGATAATAATGTTTATGATTTTCCATTTTTAAAAGAATCGAAACATTCCAAGTATGACAATAACAATTAGGTATGCAAAATAAATCAGCTATTTTTGACAAACACAACAAAATATTTGAAGTATATTCATCTACTTTTCATGTTGATGTAGGTCGGCATCCGATTATCTCCGAACGAAACTGATTTACAATAGAATAATGAATCAAAATATATTTTTGAAACAAAAAATGAATACTTATAAAATGTATATCACAAAAGTAAATTTTCTAATTTTTCTTATTTTTCTGATGCAGAAAATGATAAGACCTTTTGGATAAATTTACACCAGCTAATATTTTTTTTCAAAACAAAATTGATCAAATGCAAATCATACTCGAATTTAACTGGCGAAAACTTTTAAAATCAATTATGATGTGAAAATATACGAATTGATGTACAACTGAAAAATTTAAGCGAATGAGTAGAGAAACTGATATCACTTAGTTATTAAAAAAAATTAAATATTCACGAATAATCATTTTATTATGATAATTGTTATATTATCTAGGAATCTATTTGTTTATACATAATTAATAGTTTTAAGAAAATAAATATTATTTATAAGGTTTTAAATTCAATTTTCCAAAATGGTCCGTGAAATAATTTTAGTTGTCCACCCATGTTGTGTGCATTTAATAACAAATTTAATGTTGAATCGAACTACATATATAATAATGTCCCAAACTTATAAAATACAACCACACAAAACCTATACATCATCTATATTCTATACGAACGTGTCGTTTATGGAACACAAGCCAGCGGAAGGACAGGAAAAATGTTATGTGTTATTGAAAAATACAACTAAGCCGTTACTTTGGAACGAGAAGAATAATAGATTTGATGTCGAATCATCCGAGTCCGAAACCTGCATCCGTATCAAAAAATTTGCGCACAGTGATGATTACGAGTTTATAGTTCGAACCTCCATACCTATGATACAATATGGTAGAATGTAAGTTCCAACACGAGATCCAGCGGGTAAAAAAATATATACGAGTATGTAAGTTCCTACACGACGGAAAAAAAAAATAATAAAAAATATCACGTAGTACTTTCCATAAATACATAAATATATGATGATTGTAAAATATAATGAGTATCGCGTAATGCGATATTTTATACGTATCATAAAGTTTATGTCTATAACTTAAAAATTTAACATAATCGTATTAATTGATTTTGTTTGTTGTATAATCGAAAGGTCGGATTACACGCAACGAATTATTGCACGTTTTATCGAACACGAATATTAAGTAAAACGTAGCGTGTTTATAGTAAATCGTAAGTCTTATTGAACAGAAATTAAATCTACAATAGGATTGAAAGACTGATAGGTAAGGATTAATTTTACGCGAAGTTGAACGATAAGTCGTTACATGTAAATACGGGCTTGATGCATTGTATACAACTTTTCGTCCTATTTAGGTATATTTTCTCTCCTAGTTTCAACGACTTGATTTCATTTTTTTTTTTTTTTTTAATAATTGTTATATACTATAGTATATTTACCTAAATTATTCAATAAATAATATAAAATTTGATTCGAATTGTATTTTTTTGTTTTTTTTTGAAAACATATCTGATCTACAGAAATTCCGTTGCACACGTACTGGGGACATAATGGTAAAAAACCACAACAATGATTCTTTAAATAATGTAAAACATCATTAAAATAACTGAATACCATTGAAGAGTGAAGAGAAATACAGTTTAAACTGGTATGGAAAACTGAGTAAAAATTGGAAAGTGAAGGCACTCTATAAAATGTACGTCTTACTGTCCGTTTTATATGTTCAGTAAAACATAAAATAAGTCGTGGCGTGTAAACCGGCCTTAAAATGTTTTCATTTATAAAATCTTTTTTTTCGACATATTTTTTGCCGATTTTTGCTTTTGTGTTAATATTTGTAGTTCTTATTTTTGTATACGTATTTACTTGAGAAAGTTTGAGAATTTCAATAATTTTAAAAATATGTGGATGTTGATGACAATAATCTGAATTAGAATGTGAATGAAAACTTTCACCTGCATTCGTCGTATGTACCATATCAGAAGATTGCTGCACCTACATTTTTGGAGAAAAAATACTATCATTTCAATCGTCTATTAAATAATAACAAAATCCAAAAATTAATTTATGAGAAGAAATTAAAATAACCAATATGAAACAAGATCTATATTATCGCAAATCGGAAGAATTGGATAATCGCGGAGTAATCACATTTGTAGAGACTAACGTGCGTTATAATTGTTCACCTACTACCCTCGTGTAGTGACTGACCGGGCGCATGTAAACGACGCCACAAGTACCTTTTTTTACTGTAAACTAAGCCAGAAAAAAAAACAAATAAAATTGGGTTCATGTAAACTCCGCCACTGAAAAATATCAGGTAAAATTGAGTTCACGTAAAATCCGCCAGTGAAGAAAATCAAGTAATAGTATAAAATTAATATGATAGATTATTTAAAAAAAAAATATAGTATAATATCATATCATATCGTTCAAATTAAACATTTTAATCACAGTAAAAAAAAAAATCATGATAAATAATCGTTATACCTAATAATCTGTCCGTGTATATATTTGATACCCGAATAGTTAATGCGCGGGTCAGGGGCATTTGTCACGTCAGTGATGCTATGCTAGCGGCACTTATCGCTACGCTCCTCGGCGCCGTCGCTTCGCTCCGCTGATCGAAAACATCCCTCGACTTGCTATGCAACACCATCCCAAGTAGGTCACAGGGTAATCACTATGTTACTAACTGTTGTATCAGTTATCAATCATCATGAAAATAATTAAAAAAGTGCAAAATAAAATTTCAGCAGTTGAACTCGATACCTGTATGCTGTGTATGACTTTCAATACCTTTGGACTACGAGTTCACATACAATAAAACCATAATATTGTTCATACATTAATTTAGCTAGAAATAAGGAAAAGGTATTCAAATGGTGCTAATAGTAGCTACGGTTTTTCTTTTGGAGCGACTACGATAATTGCATGATTCAGTTGGCCATCGAGGACACAAAGAATTTTTTAAAGTTTTTTAGCTTTGTGTATCAAATGAAAAGATGGTGATTGAACATTGTCATAAAGAAACTTATGCTGTAATGTATGATATTCGTGGAATTTTTGGGCCTCTATCTAGGATCGCCCGGGCCGATTTCCTACCCCAGTCCGCCCCTGCTTACAACGCACTGCTCTACATTCGGTTTCGAGCAACTGGGTGCCCGCACAGGCGCGCCCGCAAGATAGAATCCCACCCGGGGCGAAATCGAAATCCTAAAGGCCGAAACAAAGTGTATTCAAAAAAAACAGACGAGAACAAAACCAAATACCATAGAAATCGGAAGAATTTATACTCGTAGTGTTTTAAGCGATACGCAGTCACGCGTAAACGTTGTAAACTAATGAATACGTTCAAGACTCATACGTTTTAGATTATCTAAAAATAGGATAAATTTTACTGAACTTCGTACATGGATCTCGATAAAATTATGTTATGATCAACGTGCGTGGTACTGAATCGACAATGGTTTTGAAACAAAAATTCCCAGTAGGTACAACGGCAATGAGTGCCCGTACCGACTTCCAGAGCCGTGACGCAAAATCTATAAACAAAACGCAAAGTATAATATGTGCACTCGTAAGAATTTCAACGCACGCGTGCACACAAATATCGATAATGACGACGACGACGATGTGTGAGAAACATTCCGCAATACGACGGTTTGAAATCGTGTGACACGATTATTTTTTTTTTCACCGCGCACACGGATTCGATATTCGATTAATTCCCCCCCCCTCCCCCGCGATACAATGCGTATACATACGTGTGTGGTGCGCGTGTACGTAAAAATTATAATATTTGACCTGAATAACGTTTACGCATTATAATAATAATAATAATGATGATGATGATGATGATCGTAATGGTATATCGGCACAATAACATATTGTCATCGGAGACATCGCGTCGGCGGACGCGCCGTACCGGCGCACGAGTGTGGGTGGGGGGAAGACATTAAAAAGTGCGTACGCTCGCAGGTCGGTAGATTAATATTTATTTTTTTTTTATCGAGGGGGGGGGGGGGGGGAAAAAAAAAAGGGGGGTAAGAAAAAAAAACGGTAAGAACGGAAATCTCGCGGCGGCGCACGGAAAACCGCCGGCGGCGCGTCGCGCGGGTGGAGGGGTCCGAGCGACGGTAGTCGTAGTGGTCGCCCGCGCGACTCTCGGTCGGCACAGTCGGCAACGATACCGCGCGGAGAACAATAATCGCGCGGGAGTTCACTCGTACCGAGACGATACATCGCGATCGCGATCCACGCCCGACCGCCGTTCACACCGATTTCCGTCAAGTCGGACGTGCGCTTCGCCGACCGGCAGTCATTCCAACGGCTTTACAATCTCTACCCGTTTTACGTTTACGTTACGGTACCTTTCTCGGGTTTTTCTCCGGTCGCTATTTTCTCTATCTCTCTCTCCCCCGACACCGATCCTTACGATCCGTACGACCCGTCGTCCTCCGCCGATCGCGTCGAAAACGTTTGGACCACCGCTGCGCACAACATCACATCGAACCATACAGCACTCCGCGCACGGTATGTATACAAAAAACCATTTTGTTTGTTTTGCGTTCCGGTCGTACCGTCGACCGGCGTTCAAGTCTAACTCGCACGTGCCTCGACACGTCGTCTCGTGCAGGGTCGGAAACTCAACGCCCGACTAGGCGATACGCATGTCTCAATCGATTATATACGTTGGTCCGACAATCTTCTTCGGTACTTTGACACGACGTGAAATTCGTGTGCATATCCGTTTGTTTGATTCGTGTTCGCGCGAAGGTACGCCTTCGTTTCGCGTACTCCGCGTCTAATATTTCAATTATAATCACTTGCTGTCGAATCTAGCGGAGAATCAAAAAACTTTTAACGCAAGACAAACAATCGGTACGTTTTACATGCATTCGCAGACATGGATTATAATATTTTACACATAATATTACGTTGGTTTATTAAAAAAAAAAAAAACACTGTCTCGAAAAACATTCTTCTTCGCGTATTGAACACCCACGATATTGTTTATTATACACTCGTGCCGAGGAGTGTAGAACGTCCGTCGTTACAGAGTCTAACACTCGCACGGATCCGTAAACTTTTAACTACAGTGTTTTATTTGAATCATAATGCGACTAGTGAAAGGTCCGTACGATTTTAATGAGCCGTTAAGATTAAAACAGTGTTTGAACCTATGTGAGAATTAAATACACGTACATAAATCATTTTCTTTCGTATCACATACGCGTATAATATAATACGGTTGAAGAATAGACGAAAAATTGTATAGTGCATAATTTTTTATTATGTCCTTTAGAAAGTGCGTATTATTTAATATTTTTCCCATTCAAAACCAAAAAAAAAAAAATATATATATATATATATATAATACACTTCAGTAGAATCTAATCTGTTTTTCGAGTATTTAATCTTATCGAGTTCGTGTTTGAAAAAAATGCTTGATTACATTTTTAGCTCATAAACGTGTAACGTAACAGTTTATATACATACACATGTATAAAGATGTGTATATACACACATGTATGTGATGTTTGCGTGTAGCGTACGAGTATGATAGTTTTACTTTTATGTTCTATACACGATCATATGTACACGGATTGTTGAAACTCCCTTCTCGCAAATTCAGTGTGTACAGCATTAAACTACTTACCATAAGAGTTCAAGAAAACATGAAAAAAAAAATAAACGTAATTCAAAAATTATTGGGTTAGTAAAATACGTTCTTATTTCTTTATTTTTTATACGCGGATATTTTTTTAACAACATTTCCTTTTTTTTAACAATCGAGAATAATAATAAATTTAAACTTAACCTAACTAACTGACAAGGTATATTATTTCGAGTAATTTTATTCGATATGACGATATCGTACGGTATGTATACGTATGTTATACGGTTACACTTCATATCTTTATATAGTACGAATATTTCTGTTAATAAGAATTTTTATGATTTTTCTAAACGACAATATGTTTAAACGGTTATTATGCGTTTTATGCTTAATGTTAGTTTAAGACTTTCTGTTGTTAAATTGAGCATAAAATCTGTGAAAGTCTTTGCTGGAATATTTCCCCCGTGAGGATATACTAATAAAATATAAATACATATGTATATATATATATATATATATATATATATATTTCGATCTTTATGCGGCATTACAAATACGTATCATATAATAGAAATTAAATTAAATTAAATTAAAATAACTTATACAATCAAGTGGTTATTGGATTCTAAGAGGCTACGATGTAGCAGTAAACACGATTGTAGGTAAATTGTTTAATCATGTAAACCAACGGTCACCAAAAAATGGCCTACGAACAAATTTTATTCGCAGACGAGGGTAAAAAAACGCTAGTAAAATTCATTGGTTTTTACCGGCGGAAGCAGATGTTACACTCTTTGCCAAACGTATCTCATTACTCATATATTAAAGTTTGAAGAGATGACCGTTTGCGGAATGTAGCGATTACTCGTCGACCGGTGCTGGCTTAATTTCCGTTGTATCACGTTATTACTTACTCCGCGTTGATTCATATTCGTGTTTGTTTCGCTTTTATTTGATTATGGATTAGAAAAGAAAAATAATTGAATTCGAAAACGAAAAGTTTTTTCCTGAACGTGTACGGTATTGTTTATTGTTTTGTTTAGCCGGAATTCTCCTCGAGGGCCTTGGCCCGTCTGTTTCATTTGCCCACCAGACAGTTGCTATTTTTAACGTTTTCAATATTGAACGTCACTATGTTACTTCACATGAATCATTTTTTCAAACAATTTTCTGAACGTATTATAATACGTTTAAAACAATTGCTTTGAATTTTCGATGGCTCAGGACATTTTAAGAACTCCCGATGTGGCCCTCTGAAAATATTAATTGGTGACCCTTAGTGTAAAATGGTACAACGTTTTAACCGTCACGCATCGGTCGTAAAATCAGAAATAAGACAAAAAAACACTGAAGAGGATGGTCCCTGAGCTCACTAACGATTTTTAAATGGGTATTTGAATTGTACACCGTATTAATCAAACGTTCGGTTGAGTCCAGTATAGTTTATAATACCGTTGAAAGCAATGAAATCGGTTGTAAAATACGTTCGTAAATGTTCTGTATTATAAATATATAGACGATTTGCATTCGTGTTAAGAGTGTTGAGTTTGTTTTCACAACGAGTCGGGCATCCAAATATTCCACAGACTGTGATGGATAGCTACAAATTATACGTATTTTATATTATATAGCGTATAAAAATATATGCACACGCGCGTACGGTAAATATAAATTGTTACAACAACTGCTTTGTAATAAATCGGTAGAACTGCAGAAAAACGAACGCATTATTAGCGTGAAAAAAATAAATATAAATAAAACGTTATTTCATTATGCCCATCATCCGCACGTAATAGGTACAAAAATCATACAAATTAAATTGGACGTATTTAAAACGTACATGCCACTGACGTCGAATTCCTGTTGCAAGCACAACGAGCCTACTCGGGGAATAAGTAGGTTGAACGAAAAACACAATGTTTTTACCCGGCAATTCTTTACGAAGTAGGTTGTCGGTCGCAGAAACAAAAATGCACACAATAATAGTAATTTAATTAAATCACTTGATCGATTTATTATTATTCTTTTTTCACATTTTTTTTTTTTATTTTTAGAATGATTTTTTCATTCCGAACAACGATCCTTTATTTCGTCAGTCGAATAGTACAGCCGGTACTCGGGTGGGTGACCTATTCGGCATTTTAGCGATATGTCGAGTGCTGTATTTATGCGAGTTAAAAACTTTAATAGCTTGAAAAAGTATTGATTCGAACGAAAACGAAATAAAAAAAAAAAACTCAATTTTAATCGAATGTGCTATAAAACATTTTATTTTTTGAAATGAACAGTCAATATTTGAAATCATTTATCAATAATACTATTTCAACGCTTTAAAATGGTAATCATTATGTCTTCTTGGTTTTTCTTTTCGACGTTTTAAATATCGAACGGGGTGTAAAATACAAAGTTCAAATAAAATAATTAAATAAATAAATAAAATTAAAAAAAATTACATTTGATATATTCAATTTAAATAGATAAAGCAAAACGTAATATCTGACCATCAATTACGAATTACAAAATATGTAGGTTTCGATTACAATATTGAAAGTCATCGCGCAAATTATTATTATATTACTTTTTTTTATATACTGAAAAAAATGACTACACTCATATCTAGATTGAAATAACTCATCGTGTTGTTTCACTTTGTTATTTTTTTCCAATTGAAATACTTCACAGCGAAATTAGCTGTCGAATAACATTTTCGAGACCCTTCAGCGGCGCGTTATCATTTGTACACATCTTATGAATCGCAACGTAACCGAGTTTTTCCGGAGTACGTAATGTAAAACACGTACACAATTGAAAATCAAAATAAAAAAAGAAGCAAAACGTGAAACCAAGTACAACCCAAGTCACCAAAGGTTAATGTTTTGTTAGATATGGATTTTTAACAATTTTTCCGTAAAAATATTATGTTTAATATTAAACCGTCGTGTAACGTTTTTGAAGAAATGTTTATATTTCGTTTGGCTCATGGGGTACGAGAAACGGGTAAGCAGGTTAGAAAGAAACCCTACGTAATTCACGTGTAACCTTTCGATCCCAACGAGCGTGGACAATTTTTATTTTTTTAATCGTCTAAGTTTAGCGTGGAAGCGAATTTACTTTTTTTGATTTTTACCCGAAGAGAAGTTTTTTCTTTTTTGCGGGGGAGGTTGAGCGTTAAACCCGGATCCACGGGGCCAATTATAGACATCTAACTGACTTCGGTTCAAGTTTCGACCGGTGGACTGATTTCCGCGAACCGGTCTAACGAACCGCCGGCGACCCCAAAACCAGTGGCGTAGTTATGGGGGGAGGTAAGGGGCTTACACCCCAATGGATTTTTTTTTAATGATATTTTTAATTATTATTAATATTTACATATTATAATAAAATTATATTTTCATTTTACTATAGTTAGGTATATATTACAAATTGAGAAACAAAATAATTTTCATTAAATACGAGACATAATAATAATATCATTTTAAATGTAATATTATTATTAAGGATCTCGTATTTACTAAAGAATCACAGCCGGATTAAACATTTATGGGCACCTAGGCAATTACAATTTTGGACCCTACAAAATTATTTTTTACATACATCTTTAACATTACTATCCGATAATTGAAATAAATAGCTTTAATAATAACCAATTATTATTAATAAATAAAATCATGTTTATTATATTTTTTATTCGCAAGAAAAATTAATTAATTATTATATTATTTCTATTTTTTTCTAAATAATTTTATTATTATTACTGCATATAACAACTACAACTTAATATATATTATATTTCATAATGACTATTGTCCCGTAAATTCGTAAATAAAATACAGGTATTATTAAATAAAAAAAAATAAATATAGTTTTCCGTTTTCACAGGGCGCCTCTTAAATGATTGAGGCCCTAAGGCGGA